AAAGCGTTATTGAAACGATATTTTTAGGATTAATAATACGAGCTATGACAGGCAAATCAGATTTGAATAAATTTAAAAACCACGCACTGCAATGTTTATTAAGAACATTTTCAATTTCGTTAGATGGAATTGATCTGAACACACTTATGTCACCTATGTCATCTATCTTGTCAAATCATAATCTTCATAAATTCGAATTTAAAGGATTCTCTTATAGTATCAGTGAGCTACAATGGCCTAATCAATGTAGTTTGAAACACGTTATAATATATGAATGTTATTGGAAGACACTTTATACTATTATTTCTCACCTACCTTATCTACAAACGCTTATTATAAACAAACTTCGTAAGTATAGTTCCGACAATTGTGTTGCCATGAATGATTTAACAAGCAATTTAACATCGCTCTTATTAAACAATTGTACGGGTATAAAAATGAATGATGTTGAAACACTCCTTTCACAATTACCTGTATTAAAGCATCTTCGATTACTCTTTCCAAGGTGTGAACCTAATTCTGGATTATTTGATGGTTATAGATGGGAGAAGTTCATCCGAACGAAATTATCTCTGTTGAATAATTTTGAATTCTCATTCGACGTTTTAAAACGTTTTAATTCAAATGATGTTACAACAGAATCGTTAATTGCATCGTTTCGAACTCAATTCTGGCTTAAAGATAAAAATTGGTTTATCAAGTGTAATCTTCAAGAAGAAATAGTTGGTGAAGTATTTCATCTATATTCAATACCACTCTTTAAGAAGTATGTCACATATCCAGAGTATCAAAACGCAATTCAACATTCGACATCGAACATAGCTGATAATAATGCAACAATCATTGTTAATACATCTGAGCTATCCTTGGACTTGGACAAAATGATATTTAATGAATCTCAACAAAATGTTAGCATTATTTTAGTAATTTAATTTATTATTGTAACTTAAAATTGAGTTATGTTTACGGATTATATTAGATTTGCACCAATTGAATATTAAGGTATTGCCTCGACTCAAATTATAGATAGTTATTATGGACTTTCGCTATTCGTTCATCATAAGTGATTATAACTGTTCTCGAATGCAATATTTATTGATGAATTCAAACTCTAAAAACATACTTTAATTGAATGATCAATAAAATGTTGCTGAGTTCATAACCAAAGTAGCAGTAAAGAGACAAGTTGGCTAAAATCATGTTTAAATGATCTATTATCTTGAAATTTCTCCATGAAGAAATTCAGTATTTAGAAAATTCTTATACGAAACGGATAAATTTTTTAATTTTGTAACAACGAATTGTATCGAAATTCTCGTTACTAATATCAAATCATTTAAGATTCGAAAATATGTTTTTCTATATTGAAGAAAATCGTTTGCTGTTTGAAAAAAAACAAACATTAGTAAATAACTGTTCTGTGAATTCAAATTTTATACTGCTTGATTCTCTATAAGGATAAAATGACGTAGGAATAAAAGTCTGAAAGAGAATTATGTCTTTTTTTTAACATAGAATCTTTTTTAAGATCTGTAAAAAGGAAGTTGATTTCTTCATGCTTTCCAATTAACAACGAGAAATATTCAATAAAAAATATTATAAAGAGAAAATACTTAACATATAAAGCTCTTAAATTGTCTAACTCAATGTAGAATTTTCGTAAATTAATTTTTTGTTTCATTTGAATGTGATGATTCATATTTGATATTTGAATATTTGCAAAATGTTCTACGTTGTTTTTTTTTACTTTAGATTAGTTCAACACCAAATTATTTCTTTCAAAATGTAACAAAACTTTGTCTCAGCATCAATCAAACATGGTCTATAGATTTAATAAAACATCTTTCAACAACTGTTAATCTATCGTGTCTTAAAAAATTGACGTTAATACTTTGGTCTAAGTCTGAAACTATAAGTTTTCATGAAGGTGCTAAAATTCTATTCAATCAAACTTCGAACCTTCGTTCAATTGAACTAATGTGTGATTATGATACAGTAGGAAAGTTATTTCTGACTGACATCCTTTCAAATTTACCTTGCCATGTCAAACATCTTGAAACTAGTATTCTCAATGTGGAGCACGCGACAATGATATTGGAGAGAGCTGAATATTTATCAAATGCCAAGTTTCGAGTATTTAATGGATATGAATTTTGGACTCATATCACTAAATGGCTCTCCCAAAATGGAAGAGAAGCCACAATTAAGGAAGAGCTTGTACCCCCTCTTTGTAAAACGGCACCACCTACATGTTATATGTACCTGTGGTTTGAAAATCGCATGAATAAACAAATAGATGCATAAAATGAAAGCAAACGTATGAAGTTAATGCATCCACATAACTCTCCATGATTCAATGATTTTATTTTTGGTGTATATCTAATTATTATCCATTTCAAATTAAAAGAAGGGTGAATATTTTTTGAATAATCTTTGATATAAGCTAGATAGAGAGATGCGGTTTTCACCGTTTGAAAGAGGAAAGCAAACTGCATTGAATCGTAAATATCAGTTTTTTTCCGACAAGTTTTTTCAGTGCTACCCGTCAAATTTTTGAAGCGGAAAACATTTTCTCTTGTAAAAATTTTGGAATTGCAAGTATGAGTTGTGAACCAAAATCGAAAACTAAAGTTCAGTAATCTGTATAAGTCCGCCATTAAAATGTTAAGCTAGTCAAAAGTTATTCATGATTGAATACGTGCTTTCGGCAGATTTTTCATTAAAAGTTCAGTTTTTTCAAATTTTTTGACGAAAAATTGACGTTTTGAACACGTTATAAAGCCTCCTTATTTTGAAAAACTTGGCGGATGTCCCTGAGAAAATTTGTCAGAGAAATCTGATATTCGAGGTTCGATACAGTTTTCTTTCCTCTTTCAAACGGTGAAAACCTCAACGTTCGAGCTAGTTTCTATGAAAAGCTATTCAAAAAATACTCACCCTTCTTTTAATTTGAGATGAATAATAGTTTCTATTATTCATTAATATGTTAATCGATTTTTCGTATAATTTTTTAATGAGATTCTACATTTTTGTAGCTAGTTTTCTCTTTCGTTAATAAACATATTGCATAACAATATTTATTCAAACAAAACTTTTTTTTCCTTCATGCTCGATCATACATACTAACTAGAATTATTTCATGAATTCATTAATTATGATGTTTATATCAGCAACGTGTTAGTGAATATTTAAGTGATTAGCATTTCTATAAATGCAGAAACAACCGTTGAAAAAAATCTCAGGAGCTTTCTTAGCATTTGAGGAACATTTGAAAAGTGATTCGCCATGTATAAAACATGTCCCAATTTTATTTTTCAAAGAATTTTAACATTGTTGAATAGAGACTCTAATCCTATACGATGTGAGTGAAATATATATATTTTTATATAGACTTTTATTCTAGGCAAAAATATGATAGAATTTAAACTTGTTAAAATCTCTAATATGAAGCTCATGCTTTTCTCTAGATGAAACGGGTGAGTGTTGGTGGTGTTTGTTCAGCAAAAATACAAGTTTCAAATTGCAACTTGTGTGTATTTTTAGGACTGATTATTATTTTTCCAATAAGGATCCTTCTATGAAATGTTTACTCTCTTATCATCAAATTCACAATAAAATCCGTATCAAATTAGTTTCGAAATCGAGAGATGACATTCGTAAATGTTCAAACACACTTTACAAAAATGTGTTGGACAAATTTTCAGAAAAAAATTTACCAACATCCTTGGAATATAGTTTGTAAAAATTTATAGGAACAATCAAGTTTGTTAAAAGGTTGTCAATAACTAATATAATCTCGCCGCAATCAATAGACCACAAAAAATGTGCATGAGTGTCAGACAAAAGCCAATATCAAAATGTTATTCTAAACGCTTTTCTCGTTTCACTTCAAATTTCAGCATATATTTATTTCTAAATTGTTTTCCACTATTAGAAAATCTTCTTGAAACATTACTTAAAACTATCAAAATAATATCTCTTTTCCTTTAATAAAAGTAATAGAACGATAAATTATTATAAAATAAAAACATTTATGTTCAAACTAATTTTACTTAGCAACTAGATTGTATAGTCTTTCAAGTATGTTTTTATGAGTGGTGGAGGGTCAAATTTTCTTTTGGCAGAAAGTACTCTCATTTTCGTTTTGTAATAATTTTTGATCATAGTGCGAAGAGAGAAACCATAGCTGATACTAAATTATGCATTTCTTCTTATCCCTCCTCCATTTTATTAGTTTCCTCAGTATCTGTATAAGTTTCTCAGAAGATATTAAAACGTTTTCGTAGAAATTTGACCGTTTTAGATAGAAAATTCTGCTCTAATCGGGTGTGACTGTGGAAGTTTTCCGAGAGGTATCCCACATATAACAAAACATATATATCCGTACCCACATTGTAATGTAGTTTAGTTTTACTATTGATTAATTTGTATTATGATCAATCATTTTAAAATTAATTGAGTTGGATGAACATCTTTTTTAATAATAAATTTTGATTAAATATTGAACGTAACAATATTCAATACATATTTTATTTCATCTAAACTTAAAACAAAAATAAAAAATATCTTTGCTAACTTTTACTTTGTATCAAAATAAATTACTTTCATTTTGACTGAAATTTATTATTTTAATAGGTTTAGTTTGTGAAAATCAACGTTAGTTTTCATCGACACGTATTATATAATTGGAATTTTGTGATCAAATAGGAATTTAATTACATATATTATATATGATGAAATCAGGCTCGAATATTTCATTTATTGATTTTAAGGGACGTGATTGAATTTGTCAATCTAAATGATTTATATTAATTTCAATAGGCAATTCCAATATTAATTTTTTATGTGATAATTCAATTTGATTAGTTTGAACCAAAATCTTGGAAAAAATTCAAGCAATTTTCAATTATAGAGTATTGAAAAGACTTGGATCTTCATCAGTATCTTTGTTATCTTCTTCTGCTTTTTCAAGAACAGATAAAATTGATTTTTCTGTACGAAGGCTTTCCAATTATTAGTTGCGAAAAATTCCAATTAACTCTCAAAGAATCAGTACTGTTCAAGATGCTCTAAGTCTGTGCAATTTGACACGCTCTTTGCAATAAACAAAAAAAAACAGGAACTGTATAAAATAAAAGTTCACAGCAAATTTCAAATTATTAAAATGAACTATGTTTGTATCTTTGTATGAAGTCTGATGAGAAAAGTATCCGATAAACTTTGAGCAACGACCTTTTATTCATTTTATCAAATAACGATTCGAAGGTTTAGATTTGATCGATTCATAAAGAGAAATTTTTTCTACGAAAAGTTCAAAGCTATTTGCTGATTTTTTAAGTGTTTTTTGTCCAACCATGTCTAAAAGAGTTAATATAATTGAAAATAATATTCAACAACAAGTAATGATAAGATACGTATAGTGATAGATTGATATGTTGAACAATACAGAAAGAAGTTTCAGACATATTAATAATGCACAATAGCTGGCTAATAATATAAAAAAATTTGTAAAATCAAAGTCAGATCGAATATTCGTGAGCCCATGCTAGTGGCGGAGCCAGAAAAAAGTTGTAGGGGGGAGGGGGGATTCAACCCCGGTCCCTGCTAAAGTTCAAACTATACTAGCGTAATATATTTTTACCATAGAAATAGTGATATACAACGAAAAGAAGTGAAAATGTTTAAATTGTTTATTTATTAGATCAAGTTTAACGTAATAATATTCGACTATTTCCATGATTTAGCGAAAAAACATCGATTACTTTTTCGAAGNCTGCAAGCAACTTACATATACCGTAAACACCTTAAATTTCGAATATCTCGGTTCATGCATGCCAAGGGCCGCTTATATTTTAAATTTAGTAGTTTCTCAGTGAGAGCTTTAATTTGACCCGAATATGTCTAGTCTATTTGACGGACAATACAAACACCTCCATTGTAAGCAGACAATCATTAGATTTTTCAAAAAAGATTTTTTTTATATATCAATAAGAAATCAGTTTCACTGGTTACTTATTGTATGAAAATAAAGGATAATTCAAACTTTCGACTATCTCAGTGAATTAATGTTCCTATTGTACTAATCTTCAATAACTATTTTCATCTTACATTTCATTGAGAAAAATTTTTAGAAAACATTTTTTTAAAAAAAGCTCTGTGTTTTTATCCGAAAGAGTTTAATACAAAATTTGTCATTTCAATGGAATGATATTCATCATATTAGTTGATTATGATCATAGTTTTGTAACATTCTTTATATTCCTAAAGGCATTCATATTGACAATCTTATTTTATAAAGTTTCCTTTTTTGGAATTTGTTGTCTAATATTCTACTCGCTTGGATTTATCTTTCGACGATTTTTGCAGATTTAATTAAAACTATCTTATTGTTCCTTTAGAATTCAATAGAGGATGATAGATAAATGAATATTATTCCATTGCAATGATAAGTCTTCAATAAAATCTTTGTGGGGGAGAGGTGAAAGACATACTGTTGTTATGAAAAAGAATTTTTCTCAAAAATGTAAGATGAAGTTATTCACTCAAAATTGATAAAATACCAAAAAGCAGTGGAATATATTGATGCATATCAAAGTATCTTCTTATTCGATAAAGCTCTCTCTCTCTCTTCCTCTAAGAAATCATATATTTCGATCAATTAAAACATATAGATTTGTATTAGATATCATTAATTTACTGATAGGATTCGAAACTTTTCAATCGCCTTTTACTATGTCCAAAAACTACATGCATGCGATAAAGAAAAAGAAATCTTGTATAAAGCTTTAAAAGATGTATGAAAAATGATAGCTAAGAAGAAGTTCAAATAATTTGACTCAGTCATCAATAGATAATCAGATTAAAGTGTAAGAATTGTAATTCTTGTTACTCTTTCCTTAAGTAATGATTTACTTCGAGTATATCAATATCAAAAGTTATCATAATTTGATACTGCGTAACCAAAAAATCCGCAATATTGTTATCTATATTCATATCGTAGAGATACAGTAAACATAAAACAAGAAGTACATACCTGATGTTTATGGTATGTTAGAATGAACTATTAGTGTACCGATGGCTACAGCTATCACTTATAATGATAGAGAATATACAAATAGGTTTGGTACTTGAAATTAACACTGACCAAAAGCAATAGCTTCTTGAAAACAGCAACAACAATCATATTCAATATCAAAAGAAAAGGACATACTTAGTCTGTGGAACCATGGAAATTTTTATTTGATCAATGTTTCTGTTTCAGCGACAAATTCATTCTTCTTAAAGAAGACAACAGCCGACGAAATTAACTTTATCATTCACTGGACTCATCTCTCAATATACGAAGAAGCAGTAGTTAAGAAAGAATAAACCTTCTATATGAGCGCATAAATATATTTATAAAAATCATGGCTTTTCAGAAGAATTTGAACAGTTTGTTTAAGATTTTTATCGATAAATTTACTAACAGTCAAAACATTTACGCACATATACTACGATGCATTAAAATAATTATTAAGGCTACTGATTCAAATGTTCCTTTGACTAGCTGATACTTCAGTCGGAGTTAAGAGACATGTTTTTTGTGTTTGTTTTCAATCTATAGTTTTTAAAAACAACCAATGACATAATTATTAGCTACTTTCTACCAGCGTTTCGCAAGATTTCAGTATTGTCAGTTTTAGGATTGTGACCTTGCAAAGTCTTCTTTGTCTTTTGAGTAACTTTTGTAAAATTTATACTCAAAATATTCAAACGTAAAGATTGTTTTTTTGGCGAGAAATACAAGATTTTCTTAAGATTAATCAAAGAATAGAGTGAATAAATATTTTGTGATACAAGCTAATTACAATTTTATCTAAATTTTCACTTATTCGGAAGAAATATATTCATTTAAGATCAGAAGACTTAACTGCTAGTATTTTTCAGAGTTTCTGAATTTCGTCGATGGAGAATGCCCTAGAAAAGGTGTCTTCATAATACTTCAGGGAATGATATATTCGAGAAAGTCATATTGGCGAAAATCGAGTGACCTTATTTTTTAATAAAATAAATTTTGCTGAGATTAAATGTATGACAATAAAGTCGTATAATCGAGTTTATGATTCTGATGATTCTTAAAAGTAGATACCAATGACAATTATTAGCTAGAAAAATGTGGATGAGATTGATTGATCTATTCAAAGGAAGGAGACGGTCAATGGTAACTGTGGAAAAAATATTTTCTTAGTGTAGACGAGTTGGCAATGACTTCCTTGTTGAAACAAGAAGCAAGCTAAATTGATAATTGTTCGAAAATCGAAGAAAAAGAAACACTTCTCTAGGAAAAAAAGTGAAGAATGCAACGATAACTTATGTTACTTAATGAGAATTAAAATCCGACTATAAACTCAATCATTTGACTTGCTTAAACCCAGTTCTGATTGGATTTAGAATAACTAGAATCGGTTGGGGCAGAAGACAGAAGTTCGAAAACAATATATGTTTTAGGCTTTTTCTATTCTAACTATAATTCATAGACAATAGGGTATATAAATTTGTAGATGAACAGGAAACCCACATCTTATTGCATATACTTTCTGTTTAAATTAAATTTTACGGGAAAAATTTCTTTATTTTGTTTCGTCACATATATGCAAAGTTTACTGTGTTAACGGCAAAAAAAAAGTAGTTGAAGCAAAGTTACACAAGTTAGAGCACAATATTTAAATCACAAGAGTAGATTGAGAGAAAAAAGGTTTTAAAGAATAGAAACATCTTCCGCGTCATCAGCTCGTTCATAAGCTGTTGATCGTCTCTCCTTTTCTCAGTAAAGAAAATAGAACAGAAATCGGCATCATGGTATTCATTGGGACAACGGATTTTGGCACAAAAAGAGATTAATAATTTTGAAAAAAATGATTAGCTGAGATATAATCATTTTTTTAAAATTGTGATGTTATATACGATTATCAAATGATGTGTGATCGAATATTTTGCAACAACGATTATTAGCAATCAGTTTACGTGTNGAAAGAAATAGTTGTGTTCTTTATATATTTACCAAGATTTGCTCGTTGATGACTTGAATAGCACACCAATATATCGATGTTGCTTATATGCTTCAGTGTAAAACGTTGTCTTCTCTATCGTTATGTCGCAAGTAAGTTTGATGTTTGCGCAGTCATCCGAATACGTTAATTAACGTCATGACAATTTTATAAGGCCCTCAATTTTTTTAAACACTGATATTCACAGTAAGATGACCAAAGTTCTTGCACGGGTTGACGAACTTTCACAAACTATAAATGACAGATAGCTGAAATATGGCACTACATAATGATGCGTCCTCAGCCCACCCCACTCACAATGTACTTTCCTTCCGGGGTTTTGAAGCTAGATGTAAAAATAGGTAACGTCCAGGATAACTTCTTTTCCGATAAGGCAGTCGGGATGTGGGCGAGGCCATTGACTTACACTTACTGGTGGAATATATGCCCGCAGATTTTCAGACCTCTAGGTCTTATGATGGATGAGATTCGAATGGGAGGGAGGGGAAGACTTTTGTCTAGGAGTGTACTCGAATCCTAGTAGCAAGGTACTAGATCAGTTAAATTCCTGTATCTTATACATGTTTGTGCTGGTTTAAGCGCAAAAAAACTGTAAGAATCGAATCTTGTGTTTTTTATGTACCTCTGCCCTTTGAAATTTAACATTTTTTCATATTTGAATAATATAAATTACAAGCCGGACCGTAAACTGATACTATTAATGTTGTTCGAGGTTAAGCAGATTTCGAATAGCAAGTGGCATCGAAAATTAAGCGCACATAACAGTGAAAAACGAAGGCAAAATTGTAATTTACATTAACTGTCTCCACTCATATTCGAGTGTAACTTTGGAGTTTTATTTCGACTATGACGATGATAAGATGTGGGAAACGTTCGCTAGTGACACCTCACTATTAATTGCTTCTGTATTACGAGTGGAAAGAAAGCAAATGTGCTCCTTGTATAATGTATATTTTATTAATAATTTGATTCACTCTCTATTGCTATGGCTCAGGTGATTTGAATCAAGCAAAGCAGAACAAGCAAAATCATGAGAATATTTGTATTAAAAAAAATTGAGGGCCTTATAAAATTGTCATGACGTTAATTAACGTATTCGGATGACTGCGCAAACATCAAACTTACTTGCGACATAACGATAGAGAAGACAACGTTTTACACTGAAGCATATAAGCAACATCGATATATTGGTGTGCTATTCAAGTCATCAACGAGCAAATCTTGGTAAATATATAAAGAACACAACTATTTCTTTCTTTTACAAGTCCTTTGTTCAAAGCGACTATAATGGGGATGCACCAAATCCAAGTTTTAGATTTGCCTGGATGTGACTGCCGTTCGATTTAAATTCAATTAGGATAATAAGGGAGTTTGATTGAACATGGCCATGACAAAGATTACCAACGTATAAAGATGCATCGAATCTGATGTATCTCATAGAAAGAATTAGACTTTCACTATAAAAACCCATCGAATCTGATCAAATATCTGTGTTGCTTAAAACTATTTTTTTCGCTGTCGTATATTGATAGAAGATTTCGTTTAATATTAAAAAGACTTAAAAGATTTGACAGGATTTTATGAAAATGTTGGTCTTTTCTTCTATTTTTTTATCAAACCCTGTCAAATCTAAGAATTAGATTTGGTGCACGCTTCATAAAACAAGTTACATTTTTTCAAATTACATATTTTCTTCACGTCCAAATACTCTAGTTCTTATGATATAATATTTTATCCTTGTGTCAAAGTCATAATTGGTGCAGTTGAATAACTGGAATGTTAGAATGGCTGAAAAAATATGACTAAAGAGCAAAGCTCTGCTGAAAGCCTAACTACCATTGTGTTCCTTGACATTTCATGGCAGATATTTCAACATAATACTCCTTCATGCTTTTCAGATATAGTCATCAGAATTGACTCGAACAATATGGATTGCATAGACAGTTCTTTTGATTTTTTCATCGAATTGTAATTTGAAAGGTCCGGAGAGTGGACTTATTTTGTTGTGGCATACTCTTTTCAATTCATCTCAAGTCAGATACGCTTGAAAAATAATCGCATTTCCGATTGAAATAGTTTCGTTGTGTTGAAAAGTTGAGTTTCAGAACCTTATACTAATTCTCTTCTAATCATTCACTGGAACTTGGTATGCAGCACAACCTACCTCATCGTGCTATTGACAGATGTAGCTTTATGTGTAAACTTGTCCTCAATGTAGGAAAATCTGCTTGTAATCGCACTACTATGAGGGGGCTCAAGATTATATGCTATACCATCTTCATTTACAGGACAAAGTGAACCACCACGCCATAACCGTTAGTTGTTAATTACGATGAGATTAAGACAATTAATCAATGATATCGATGATTGGATATGCATTAATCCACATACATTAGAAACATATTATGAACGGTCTATCAGTTTAATTACACAATCATTGAAACTTGTAACACAAACGGAAGAGCCTAATGATGGTGGTTTTATTTATGTCATGCCTACTATTAATATAACCAAACGAGCTAAAATGGTGCTAGACCATTCTACCATAAATATTTTATTGAAGATCGCATTATCAGCCGTAGTTGTCAATGACTGCGAACTATTGAGTTTGTTGGAATCAGCAGCCTTTCCTGTATTTCTTGTCTCCAAAACAACCACGACAGATAGAATCTTTGCTCAATTGTGTATTCATTATTACAATTATCCTAGACATTCTATTGGTCAAATGATTGGTGTAACTGGTACTAATGGTAAAACAACAGTAACACATATGATTGAAAAAGTTTTATTAGACGCTAAACTCACAGTTGGTCTGATAGGCACACTTGGCTATAGATGTCATGGTCATGAGAGTAACACGAACGACTACATAAATGCAGGTTACACAACACCAAATGCATGGATATTACAAACAATATTGAATGAAATGAAAAATGAATATCATATAGACAACGTGGTCATGGAAGTTAGTTCTCATGCGTTGACTGTAGACCGTGTTTACGGATGTGACTTTAATGTTGCCATTTTTACAAATCTTACGCACGACCATCTCGGTTTTCATAAAACAAAGGACAACTACTTACGAGCAAAGTTGTCATTATTTTCAGAATATTTATCAAAATCTCTATCAACAAAAGCTATCATAAATCATGACGATCCATTATATGAACAATTTATTAGTGCATGTCCATCTAATGCTCAAGTTTATACATATGGTCTATCGACGAAAAGTCTAAATTCGTTTGTAGCTAATGATATTAAAAATTCGCTAAATGGTGTAAGTTACACACTTTTACTATCATCAGGTGAAACACGACGCGTTCATTTAAATATCCACGGTGACTTTAATGTTTACAATACGTTAGCTTGTATAGCTACTTGCTTTATAACTTATTCCTCATTTTTAACATTAGATCAAATTATTCAATCACTAGAAAGCTTCCAGGGCGTTAAAGGTCGATTTGAATTCATCATACGTCATAGACCATTCTCAGTTGTAATTGATTTCGCACATACTCCGGATGCATTAGAAAAAGTGATTAAGAGCGGAAGACAAATATTATCCGAATCAGAGGAAAATGGTCGGTTGATTGTTGTTTTTGGCTCTAGTGGAGGAGAATATCCACCAACAAGACCATTATTTGGACGCATAGCCGATGAAAATGCTGATATCATGATAATAACATCAGAGAACCCTTGTCAAGAGAATCCACAGGCAATCATCGATGAAATTTTATCTGGAATCTCACAAAAACCAGATGATAATCGATTATACGTAGAATCAAATCGAAAACAAGCTATACATTTAGCTATGGATTTAGCTAATAATAAAAACGATCTTATACTGATTACTGGTAAAGGACATGAAAGAACACAAACATTTGCAAACCATGCTATACAATTTAACGAAAAAGAGATCATAGAAGAAAAATATAAGCAAATGATGCAGGATAATCCCTTTTCAACGTAAGTTTCAAAATCGACTCGTCTGTGAAAAAGACAATAACGCCTTGAAATCCTACACAATTTCAAGAACATAATGACTCATACTACACGATTTACTTAATAAATGGCGTATATTTATATGTACTAGACTTTTTACATCGATGATGAGTCACGCTCAACAAGAATTTTGAAAGTTTCGTAAATCAGAACTCAAATCTATACCATTGAATGTAGAGAACAATGTTTTTTTTTCAATGGTCAATACTTTTGCTCAACAGATTTCCCTAAAACGAGAACTTTGCTAAATGGCACGGTGTCGTTTTGACTCTATACGCAGAGAAAGAAATAGATTGTCCACAAACTATCCATCTTAAGCATTGATATGAGACTATGGAATATCGCGAGTTCACCCTGGTTATACGAAGCATGAGATGATGCGAGTGTAGAGCAACCATGATGTCAATATAAAAGAAAATAAGAGATCAAGCTTAAAGCATCACACGACGTGTTGTCTCACTTTTCGACTTTGTTCGATGTGCGCCCTAAGGATAGAATCTAATATATTTATTGATAAAATTATTTTTACCGACAGATTTTGTTGAGTGTGGTAGTCATAAGTATTCATTTAGAGAATAATTGAAAATGAGATTTATTGTTGATGGTATATATCCAAAGAAGATAAACAGGCAGTTCGAAAAATATAATAGAAAACCGTGAACCTGGATATTGGTAGTGTCTTTTTCATTATTTGTACAATTGGTGTGACAATGTCGGCATGGGTCCAGTTTCAAACGTGCATCTTGGGTACGTAAGTCTTGGATTCCATGGTTTTTGTTGTAATTCAAGTGGAAATATAACAGGATCTTTATTCTCTGCTTTTAATTAGATTTCCCTTTTTTCGGGTTGATAAAGTAATTTTCGATGTAGTTGTTGATAAGTTTGTTTATTGAATCATTTTATTAGAACGTCAGCCTTATTGACTTAAAAAAATGGAAGACATTGATTCGTGTGGGTGTGAGTTATAAGTCTGGGTGTGACCGTGTTGCTTCCTCGCAATCACACTTCACACCCATACACTAACATTCCCAACCACACCCACACCCTACTTCTTTTGATTCCTTAGTTAGTTTTTATTTATGAATTCTTAAGTCAAATATTTCTAATAACTCGACTCAAAGTGTAGAATAATAATTATGCCATCGACTATTTTCATATCTGATCAAGGTTATCGACAACTATTCGATCTAATATGTGGTGGAAACAACTCAATAGTATATTGTTGTGCAAATGTTTGATAGAACAGACTAAGTATGACTTTATCATTGAATGGGCATTAGAGAATAGCATCATACATATCTTGCATGAGTTCATAAACAAAGATGAGTTGTCATGTTATAAACATTTCGATATGAATAAAAGTATGTTTGTCGTCCAGATTCTACTTGAACTACATGTTCAAGAAAAGAAAACACATAGTCAAAGGAATACATTCGAATATCATATCATAGAGTATTTGTCAGTTTTATACCCTCATCTGTTTCATTCGATGGTGTTGAGTTCTCGCTAATAATAATTATCATTATTCAGTGTTGGTCTATTTGAGCTAAGTTATTGCTTTTGTGAAATTCAAAGATATTTTTGAAGAAAATACTAAGTTGTAACTCAGAGTTTTGCGACTTTTCTCTCATTAAAGATTTTAGTAACCGGAATTAAAGGCGCCGAACGGTAATGGTAAATACGCTTAAACGTTTTTTTCAATATTCTAGACAACACTTTCTCTGATTTTTTTCTGTAGATCAAAATTTACATTGAATATGTCAACGATGATGAATACTGATGTGTTGATTTGCCACATTTGTCATATGATCAACATAAAAAGTCTGAATCTATCAAGTTAATAATCAATATCAGTGATTAGGCGTTTAAATCTGATGCGATAGATATCAAAGATATTTAAAACAGTTTTATTTGATGTTTAACCTAAGATATTAAATAATAACAAGTCTAGATTAAAATAAAATAAAATAAGAACAAGAAAAATCATGAAGAAATAACAGTAATAAAAAAAATTCGAAATTCATAAATAGAAAAGACGCTATCTGCTCGAAAAGAATCATCAATTTCTAGAAATGTTATACATTTTAGATTTTCTATGAGCATAATTAAGCTAAAAAGATATGTAAGCTCTATATTTCAGTTCCGACGAGACTCCTCTTACAGGCTTTCTTGTATAGATAATTTAGATTGAAGGAAACTTCGTGTTAATGTTGGAGATTGTCTTTGACATTGAAATAATGCACTATTAACTCGTTCTTGTGCAATATAATTTGATATATTGAAATCATCCTGTCGAATATGGAGTATTTCAAATAATTCTTGAAAAAGAACTATACTTAAATCAACAGGTATTACTGTTGCTGATCGAAAATGGTGAGTATCAATTTGAATCGATGACATTGCCATATTTTCTATTTGTAATTTCATCTGCTGAACGATTCTCGTTAATGAATCTAGATGATTTTCACTCCAGTAATGGTTCCTAATATTATAAAGAGGAATCTATAGAAAACAATTTCAAATAAATTATTATCAACATAGATAATATCTATACTTGTTCATCACAACCGAAGTCTGTTAACAAACAGTTGACAATGATGTTTTCACATTTCGATAATTTGTGATGATTAAGGTTGTTAACTGTACTAAACTGTGTATGACAATATTCACACATTGGATTTCGATGACATTGATCAAGATGTGTCTTTAGTTTAAAAGAAAAACATCTTACTTTCTGAAATAAGATGAAAATCTAATTTCTTACTTGATAATTACTTAGAACGCCAACCCAATCGTCAAAGGAACATTCAATCGGTAGTGTTTGCATGTCGTTTTTGAAACCTCGATCAAGCATCACCTGAAATAGTAAGCATTTATATTCAACTGAAATGAAATGAATACTGCACTTGGTTTTGTGCAGTTGCTTTTAAACATTGGTGACATTTAATTAAATTTCTTAAAAAAATAATAAATCAAATCAAGTGCATAATGATACTTACCCATGTTGCCATCGGAAACATGATTGACACTGCCGATGACCACAATAAGTTAGTTGAATTGGATCTCTGAGTACCAATGTACACACTGGACAAATAAACTTCGTTTCAAGAATAAGTTTATTTTTAGCATCAAAACCAAACATTTTGTTAACAGTCTGAAAGAAAAATAAAAAGCTAAACACGATTAATGACACAGTAACAGTTCTCGAAGTATATAAAACGTATGATAGCAACGAATGAATAATAATAAAACTACTATTCTATAGTAATTCGGAAGTTTTGTACTGGATTTCTCTCCGAAAATAACCAACACACATATCAATTGATGTATGTTTATACAATTTATAACACAGTATGACAGAATATTAAGGCTTTCACGTAATAGCAATGAATGATAATCAAAAATATTAACCTGAAAAAGTATGGTTGAAGCAAGAATAAAACTTAATTTATAATTGATGAAGATGATGAAACAATACAGAAGTTCTATAAATAAATAAATAAATAAATAAGTATATTAATATATACGTTATATTTGTAATGAGTCGCCAATTGTGAATATGATGGATGTTTACAAGTGAGAGGGCTTCAAGCATGGCTCCTAAGCAACGGTTCATACTTTTCTCCTTTTGACAGCATGGATCAAGCCATTTCAGAGCAACATGAAATGATCAAAGAAGAAAAAGAACGTATACTGTGTTAAATCATTACTTAATACAAAAGTTAATGTGTCATGAAAATATGTTGTAGGTTTTCCATAATAATTTCGTAGTGCATTGTTCTTTTGTAATATGAATGATTATTCATTTAAATCTACTAGAAAAAAATCCGAGTTGAACATAAAAAGATACTATCACTTCGATTTTTGTAGAACTACTACTTATCGAAAACAAATGCTAAAACTATTTGAAATATTTTCGATACGATTGCATAAAATGCATATTTTAGTTGATATGCGTATGTTATATATTTAATTTTGCAAAGGAAGAAAATTTTATATGGCATGATTTATCAATTCATACTTTTCGACTATTTCTATAATTTAAATTCTTATAGAAATCGATGACGAATAATAACCTTATACATACATGGTGGCTGTTTTTTTGGAACAACTCTTGCACTCAGTTGCTGATCGACACAAAAATAAATATTTACATAACTCATTATATATGAGTCGTACAATGACCATGACTCATGATATTTAGTTGGAATTTTCCAACTGTGAAGTACAGCATATCGTCATGACGAAAAAATAATCGAAAACAAGTATACATATAAAATGTTTGAGTTATGTGTCACTATGACAATGTCTCGTTATGAATAATCAATATGACGATAGTCCAACTGAAAAAAAAGAAATCATATTATTGGAAGAATATGTTACTGTAACCAATAAGGTGTGTTGATTAATATTAGATAAAGCATTTTTTTTCTGATGTTTATTTTGATTTAAACTTCAGACATCTAATCGTTGAAAGTTATTTAATATATTATTCAAATTAACTTAGTCTGTTTAATAAATGAAAAACTTTTAGAGAAAAAAATATGTAAGTCAGAAAAAACGTGCATTACTAAATGACGTTAGAATAAAAAGCAACATTTTCAAAAGGAAATAATCGCGATTATCTTAATTAAACAAAAGACAAGTAAACCGTTATCATAAAAGCAAGTAAAACTGAATGGAGTTGTAAAGGTTCTTCTGTTAACGCTGTTTCAATATCAGAATTTTACAGAAAGCAAGAAATTTTTCATCGGAATTTTCATATTCAATACGATTTTCTCTAGATCTGATTTTTCTCTTTTAAAAACAAAACAAGATTCCTCGTCATTAGAATGGCGAATATGTAGACTTCGACTTTTGTCCAAGAACTTTTGCAACAATCGTTAAATAGAAAACTTGTTATAAACGATTATTTGATTAATCCTACAATTAAAAAGCCAAATAAAAACAACCATTCGTTATTTTTTATTTTTTATTTTTACCGATTCATTACGGAACTATTATTTATCCAATGCAAAGAGATTTTAGCTATATTTTTGTATAAATAAAAGTACTATGCAATTTCCAAAGGAGAAAAAAGCGAGACTTCTGTACCCGGACTACAGCAAAATTGCAACTGGTACATGCAGAGTACTGTACTCCATGAACTTCGAAGTACGGGGGTTTCGCTTTTGCTCTTGGGAATTTTTAACACACTTTGCGTCATAGATGTTCCATATACAGATAATTAGATTTACATGTCTTACTTAACAATTTAACCATTTCCCCCTTCCCCGCCCTTAGTCGCTGAAATGACAATTTGCAAAACGTGTAGTAATTTTCATGGACTCTCAATTGATAAAAACAATATTTGCTTTCATCACTCTGTCGTTGACATATCGAACCTACAAAATCAATAATTTTGAAAAAAAAATAGAATTCTTCGTAACATAATAATCTCTATTCACCGTCAATAGAGATCTCTTAGAATTTATGTGTGACACAAATTGATGAAGAACTTCACTGGTGAATTAGATTTATTTCGAAAATTTCATGACAACTCTATGAATTATAATTACAAAGCTTCTGCCCCTTCAATGGCATGGTCAAACAAAAAGATCAAGACCTATTATGTCGTTCCATTTTCGTCCTACATGACATCATCGGTGAATCAGACCACGCCATTAATATATTAGGGAAGTTAATACTGTATTTATAAATTTATTTTATCAATGTCTCTTCTGGAGCCACCGTGGAGAGCAAATGGGTTAAGCAGTGTACACTTCGAATTATCAGCAGCGTTTATCTTCTGTAAATTTTTATTTCACTATAGAAAAAAATATACATGAAATGTCAAACTAGTAAAGTACAAAATAAATAAGTCCGACTGTCATTATTATTTTAATAGAAGAACTGAGTTTATTATTAAAACTTTTTATTCGAAAAATCAATGAAAATAATATTTCTCAGGATTTTGAAAAGCTGCACTTAACAATAGCATTGAAATAAAAGCTGAATATTTCAATACGTGCTTAGCTTATTGAGTATAAGAGTAAAGAAAACGCTTCAATAGCAATACCATTTCTGGAATAAATACAAAGCTTCCAATCAAATTGATAAATAACATTTTGAAAAAAATATTGATATCATAAATAGAGAAAAAAACAAACAATCAATCGAATAGACTCTTTTGTGGATTCATGATTAAAATGAATAAAATACTAACACAATACATAAAAACAGATACAAATATAATATTATAATAATCAAAATTCTGGCAATTCGAGAATTGAACAAAATGTTTAATCGATTTTATCAATATGATAACAAAAAGCCACCAATTCGAGTTTCTATTTTAAGATGTTTACCATCAGAACTTCAATTACCAGTATCATATTTAGAATCAGCGCATATAGTATGTTTCACACTTAAAACTAATTTTCGTTAAGTATTCACTGTGAGGGAAGCACATGTCAGATTTGTTTTGGTAAAATAGTTTTCTGTTTTCTGTGACACTGAAGTTCAGATGGTGAACATCGTCGAATACAAACTTGTATTTATAATGTTTTGCTATCTTATTGAAAAAATTGATTTTATCAACAATAAAACAATACTTTTGAAAAATCATACATAAAGTTTTTAGCCAGTAAAATGAAAATTGATTTCGAATAAATTTTGAGACTCGTTACTTTTGCTATATTTTAATTTTTACAGTTTTTTTTCACTGTTTTTAACCCTAACTTGACTACAAAACTATTCTTTGCATTTTTTCAATCGAAAAGTATTTCTTAAATGTCGCATTGCCGGGCACCCTCCAATCAGCCTATATAGTTATACAATATGAAATTTGCCAAATCAGTATCTATGTATTGCATGAAAAATTTAATTACAAATATTTCAAAGCAAAAGTCTAAACGGAAAAGATAAACAAATCTTATGAATCATATAGCCTTATTAGTAAATATTCTTGATCCAAGTATTTATATGTCAATACAATGCAGAATACAAGATTCTCATTGACATTTTGTTTAAGTTCAAATACGTGAATCAAGAAAGTTTACTAAGAATACGCAATTCTTAATTGTAAATTTAAATTATGAAAAAGCAACTGTGTATGTCTTGATTATCCGAATGAAAAGTGAGATGATTAAATAAGCCATTGAAAATAACAAATAAAATATGAAGATAAACAGAAGTATAATAACGGTATTTTCTTGAATATGATAAACAAAAAACAACAATAATCAAATATTTACATATTTGCTTTTATTTTATTCCACTTGTGAAACTGAATTATGAACGTTATCTTTCATTGGAAACGTTACCTTGTAATGCTTAAATAATGAAAGGCTATTACTGATATAATCGATCTAACTAGCTGGTGAAGATGGTATCTGGTCGAAGCGAATCAATAATATGCCATTGTTCAGGTGTTTGATCGTACAAAC